CATCCCCGTGAACACTGGGACGCAACTCAATGGGAAAGGAAAGGATTCTGATTTCTGATTTCAACAGTTGTGTATATTAGCTGCAACATATGAATCAAGATGCTATTACCGAAAACATTTGATTGACAGATGACCGTTGATATATGATTGGCCGAATTTAGGTGTTCAAGCTGACGTATAACTAACTGGCTGGCATAAGATAACAAAAAAACACAGATTTTAAGACAGGATTATTTTTTTAAATAGAAATTTACTACATGTTGGGACGATATGGTCTGATAAAGAGTACATTTATATAAAATTTTAAGCAAGAATGATTTAACATTTAAATATGATTTCCCAATGAATTTAATATTAAAATATTCTAAACCAACATTTTTAATATCGTTTAAACCAAACTATCTGGTCTGTTTCCTGGGAAATGAGTTTTCTGCCCCCTGCTGGTAGACAAATGGTATTGAATCTTCAGGGTTCAATTCCTTCTCAGCTACCAAATCCAGGACCTGCTACCTGCTCCGTTACTCACTCAGGAATGTTTAATGAGCTTTTTGCTGTTGCATGGGAGCCAATTGCATCAGAGCTGCAGGCGGCTCTTCAAACGTTCAACAAAACTTGATCAATTGGCTAAAGATGATAAAGGGTCAGCTTATTCTTAACAAATGCATTTTCTAGTAAGTGATTGCACTGAATACCCCAAACAAAATGACTCTGATTATAACAGAAATTTATGTTTAAAGTAGGAAAAAATGTCAGTTTTTTAACAGGATTTTCTTAAAATAGAAGCAACCTGTTGAAAATGTATTTAATCTCTTTTTGCAAATCTTTCCTTTAATTTAAATGTCACTGTGGTTATTTTAAAGCAGTCACATTTTCTGTGGTGGATATAGATTAGACATAAATTATATTTTTCTTTTTTGTTTCAATAAGGTAAAATAATGTTTGTCAATGAGTTTGATTAGCTGCATTGAAGTATTTCTCTTTCAATTCACAAAATCAATTGACTCTTAGTATATTAGAAATATATTTTTGCACTTTTTCGAGTTGGAACATTTTATTTATTTTTTTTTATATGATTCCCCAAGAATATCAGCAACATGTAGTGAATATCTTTTAAATAAAAAAAATAGCTCCA